AAAAAAAAAAAAAAAAAAAGCAAATAAACAACAACAATAACAAAAAACAGCAGGCTGTGTGTGGTGGCTCACACTTGTAATCCCAGCACTTTGGGAGGCCGAGGCTGACAGATCACCTGAGGTCAGGAGTTCGAGGCCAGCGTGGCTAACGTGGTGAAACTCTCTCTACTAAAACCACAATAATTAGCTGGGCATGGTGGTGAGTGCCTGTAATCTCAGCTACGCGAGAGGCTGAGGCAGAAGTATCGCTTGAACCTGGGAGGCGGAGGTTGCAGTGAGCAGAGATCGTGCCACTACCCTCCAGCCTGGGACACAGAGCGAGACTCTAACTCAAAAAAAAAAAATCTCCATGGAAGAGGCGCAGTCACAGTTTTGATAATACACTCGACCACACACACACACACACTCGTAAAACAAGGAAAACAAGAGGACGGCGGAAAGAGAGTGACTGTTTTGTCTAGATTGCCGGGAAGAGACAGCAGAAGTGAGAACCTTTTTCATCAGCCGGATGGCACCTAGGATTTCGTCACCCCCCTGACTTCCTCTTCTTCAACGAGAACACCCATTGGTGAGCCGGGCAGGGCAGGAGGGAACTGAAAGGTAAGGAAGCACTATTTCAGCAAGAGGTCTCTCCTCCCCGTCTCGATCCTCCAGCCACTGGCACAGCCTCCCCCTGAAAATGATGCTGTGGGAGAAGCGCTGGAGTTGCCCCATGTCCCATGCCTAGGAACATCTCCGCCTCCAGCTCCTCTCCTCTGGGGCTCACGGCAACCCCATGCTACGCACCGCAGGCAGGGACGGCCTCTGTCGCCTGTCCACCTACTTGGAAGAACTCGAGGCTGTGGAGCTGAAGAAGTTCAAGTTCTACCTGGGGACTGCGACAGAGCTGGGAGAAGGCGGCAGGATCCCCTGGGGACGCATGGAGACCGCGGGTCCCCTGGAAATGGCCCAGCTGCTCATCACCCACTTCGGGACAGCGGAGGCCTGGAGGCTGGCTCTCAGCATCTTTGAGTGGATGAACAGGAGGGACCTGTGGGAGAGAGGACAGAGAGAGGACCTGGTGAGGGGTAAGGAGGTGGCAGGAGAGGCAAGGCTAGGACCCCAGCCAGGCACGGTGGCTCACACCTGTAATCCCAGCACTTTGGGAGGCTGGAGAGGGCAGATGGCTTGCGGTAGGGAGTTCAAGACCAGCCTGGACAACATAGTGAGACTCTGTCTCTATAAAAAATAAAATTGACCTGGTGTGGTGATACCTACCTGTGATCCCAGCTTCTCAGGAGGTTGTGGTGGGAGGGTCACTTGAGAGCAGAAGGTCTAGGCTGCAGTGAGCGATGATCCTGCTCCTGTACCCCAGCCTGGATGACAGAGCAAGACCTTGTGGAGTTTGAGACCAACCTGGCCAACACAGCAAAAACTGTCTCTCCTAAAAATGCGAAAAGGCCAGGCGATGTGGCTCACACCTATAATCCTAGCGCTTTGGGAGGCCGAGACGGGTGGATCACCTGAGGTCAGGAGTTCAAAACTAGCCTGGCCAACATGGCAAAACCCCATCTCTATCAAAAATACAAAAATTAGCCAGGCATGGTGGTGCAAGCCTGTAATCCCCACTGCTTGGGAGGCTGAGGGAGGAGAATCGCTTAAACCCAGGAGGTGGAGGTTGCAGTGAGCCGAGATCACGCCACCGCACTCCAGCCTGCATGACGGGAGTGAGACTCCATCTCAAAAAAAAAAAAAAAAATAGCCAGGTGTGGTGGTACATGCCTGTAGTCCCAGCTACTTGGGAGGCTGAGGCACCAGAAGCGCTTGAACCTGGGAGGTGGCGATTGCAGTGAGCTGAGATCACATCACTGTACTCCAGCATGAGCAACAGAGTGAGACCCCATGTCAAAAAATATTTTAAAAAGAGATGAGGTATCCTCACATTGCCCAGGCCGGTCTTGAACTCCTGGGCTCAGGAGAGCTTTTACCTTCACCTCCCAAAGTGCTGGGACCACAGACATGAATGACCACTGCCTGACCACCAATTCCCTTTTCTTTCATACTAATCACTGAGCCTGGAGACCTGGAATTCTAATTTATAGATAGACAGACAGACAGATAAATAGATAGATACATAGAATTTCAACTTTTTTTTTTTGAAATGCAGTCTTGCTCTGTTGCCCAGGCTGGAGTGCAGTGGCCTAATCTCGTCTCACTGTGACCTCTGACCCCCAGGTTCAATTGATTCTCCTGCCTCAGCCTCCTGAGTAGCTGGGACTACAGGCACCCATCACCACACTTGGCTAATTTTTGTATTTTTAGTAGAGATGAGGTTTCACCATGTTGGCCAGGATGGTCTCAAATGCCTGACCCCAGGTGATCCACTGCCTCAGTCCTCCTAAGTACTTGGATAAGAGGCACGAGCCACTATGCCCGGCTAATTTCAACTTTTATTTTAGATTCAAGACGTACATATGCAGGTGTGTTACATGGGTATATTGAGTGATGCTTAGGTTTGGGGCAAGATTGATCCTATCACCCAGGCACTTCAACATAGTAGTCAGCAGTGAGTTTTCCAACCTCCCCGGACGATGAGTCCTCAGTGCCTAGTGTTCCCATCTTTATGTCCATGAGAACCCAATGTTCAACTTCTACTTATCAGTGAGAACATGCAGTCTTTGCTGTTCTATTCCTGCATGAGTTTGCTTAGGATAATGGCCTCCAGCTGCATCCATGTTCCTGCAAAGGACACGATTTGGTTGTCTTTTATGTCTGTGTACGGAATTCTAATTTCATCCCTTTGGTCTTTGTTCACGCTGTCTTCCTCCTTCTCCATCTTCTTTGCCTGGAAAACTATTACTTATTTACTTACTGAAACCTTGAAGGCACTACCTTCTCTCCTTTTTTTTTTTTTTTTAATTTTACTTGAAGTTTTGGAGTACATGTGCAGATCTTGCAGGATTGTTGCATAGGTACACACATGCCGTGGTGGTCGGCTGCCTCCATCCCTCACCCCTATCCCCCACCCCCGTCACCTACATCAAGCATTTCTCCCAATGTTATCCCTCCCCAACATCCCCACTGCACCCTTCCCCTTTTTTTTTATAGTGTCTCCCTCTGTCACCAGGCTGCAGTGCAGTGACACGATCTCAGCTCACTGCAACCTCCACCTCCTGGGTTCCAGCAATTCTCCTGCCTCTGCCTCCCAAGTAGCTGGAACTATAGGCGTACACCACCACGCCTGGCTAATTTTTGTATTTTTAGTAGAGACAGGATTTCACCATGTCGGCCAGCTCCTGACCTCAAATGATCTGCCTGCCTCGGCCTCCCAAAGTACTGGGATTAGAGGGGTGAGCCACCGTGCCTGGCTTGAGCTGTGGTTTTTAGTGTCATTTCTCACCTGGTTTCTCTATTGAAACACGGACCCCCTCAAAGGCAGAGAGAGAGAATCTTGACTCCCCTGTGTGATTCTCTGTGATTCCAGTGTCTGGCTAGGGCTAGGAACAGAGTAAACCTTGATGAACATTTGCAGAATGAATAAGCAAGCCCTGCCAATAACTGGCTATACACAGCCACTTCTTCGAAGCCTAGTGACTCATGGTTAATGAGATGTGATCGTAGTTGTGTGCTGGGAAATGTTAAACATCTCTGAAAAAAACAGTCTTTAATGACTCTGAAAAAGCAAAGGCACTT